GCGCCAGTGACTAAGAGAGCGCACGATAGCTAGCATCTCCTTGTCATGGATTTCGCAGTTGCACTCCGCAGGGGCCATTGTCTTAGAAAAGTAACCCACAGGGTGCCATTCGCCGTCCAGGTGTAGCTGGGACAGAATGCCAGCTACTACTCCATCCGAAGCATTTGTTTCCAGTTTACACTCCAAGGCAGGGTCGTAATGTCGTAGAAGAGGGGACGAGACAAGACGTTGCTGGAGTTCTTCAAAAGAGCGGCGGCAAGGCTCGTTGAATACAAAGGGAGTTGAGGCTTTTGTTAGGTGTGTAAGTGGCTTAGCAACGATTCCGTAGTCTCGAATAAAGCGTCGATAGAAGTTACAGAAGCCAAGGAAGGACTGAACACCTTTGAAAGTGCTAGGCTCTTTCCACTCATGTATTACAGAGACTTTGTCTGGGTCTACTTCAATGCCATCAGTACTAACTATGAAGCCAAGGTACTTCGTACGAGTAACGCTGAATTCGCACTTCTTGATATCTGCTTGCAGGCCGGCCTCGCGAAGCCGTCGGAGCACCTTCTGGACATGTTCTTCGTGCTCTATAAGGTTCTCTGAGTAAACGAGGATGTCATCTAAGTAGGCTGTACAGAAGTCGTCGAGGTAGTCGAATAGAACGTCGTTCATATAGCGCTGGTACGTAGCAGGGCCATTTGTAAGACCAAATGGGAGTACTTTACATTTGTATAAACCATACCTTGTACGGAACGTCGTAAGGTCCTCGGACTCTGGGTTCATACGGATACGGTGGAAAGCTTGTCGTATGTCGAGTTTCGTAAAGAATTTAGCGTTTGCTAAGCGGGCAAGAGTCTCGTCAATTAGTGGCAATGGGTACTGATCCTTGCGAGTAAGGGCGTTGAGTTTACGGAAGTCGATATAAAAGCGAAGGCTGCCATTTGGCTTGCGTACGAAGAGCGTAGGCGAGGCGAAGGGTGCTTGGCTAGACTCGATAAATCCCTTGTCCAGGTTCTCAACCAAATACTGCTTGATTGCCTTGAGCTCATCCGCGGACTGGTTGTAGAGCGGGCTGTAATTGAGAGTTTTTGGAGTTTCCAGCTGTATATAGTGGTCGTATAAGCGGTGTGGTGGGAGCTTGTCAGAAGCAGCTTTCGAGAATACGTCTTCGTACAAGCTGTACTGAGAAGGGAGCTTGTCCCTGATTTCCTAGACAGTTGCTTTGTTGTCATCTCTAAGAGTCTCTTTTGACTGAATCATTTGGTCTACTTCGTACAGGCTTGTCGAGAAGAACTCATTCTCCTTTTTTCGTAGATGGAAGTGGAATCCATTTGCACTAATATGAGCGATGTCTAGCAAGGGGGGCTCTTTCTTAGTAGAGTGACTTGGGGGTTGACTACAAGGCTGCGGAGTGTGGCGTCTAGCAGGCTTAGCTCTTGATGCATCCGTCGTATCTTATCGCGGGTGTACTATTCGTGTGTGTTACGTCCGACAGTCTTGCGGGTTATACTCTTGATCTCGGTCGTTTCCTGGCTCTCGTAACCTGAGTCTTCTTCTAATAGAGTGCTGGAATGAGGCGAGGGGGGGCGAGGGAGGAGGGTAGTGCGGGGGGGCGTCGCTTGCTTGCCGTCTCGACGTNAGTCTTCTTCTAATAGAGTGCTGGAATGAGGCGAGGGGGGGCGAGGGAGGAGGGTAGTGCGGGGGGGCGTCGCTTGCTTGCCGTCTCGACGTCGTACATCTTCTTGGTTCATTGCATACTCTCTTGCTAGTACGTCTCGCTGGTGGCTAGGCTGGCAGCGTTGAGGGCGTATGTGGCTCCTTGGTAGACAAATCTCTTTTTGGAAAGTTGGCAGCGGTTTGTCTTCGTCAGGCCACATAAGTCTTCCATGTCCTGGATTGAGCTAGACTTTAAAGTAGGCCATCTACTTAAGTCCAAGGATAATCTCGTGGTTCCCAAGGTCGAGGATACAGAAGGGAATGTTGGTTTGTCGGTGCTCATTTATAGAGAGTTGGAGAGTAAGAATGTGAGTAACAGAGTTACTTGACTTGCCATCAAACCCTTTGGTTGCAATAGCGCGTACAAGCTTCTAAGGTTCAAGGTTGAAGAACTTGGCTATATCGACTGCAAAGGCAGTATCTATAAAAGCAAAGCCATTTGCTCCGGTGTCAATTAAGGCGTGGGTTGTAATTGTAATTCCACTATTTGCTAGAGTACATAGAACTGTAAAGTGCTTTCCGCCCATCAATCGACTTAAATCAACCTTTTTCAGACTGAGAGCATACCCTAGGCAGGAGTCTTGGCCTAGGGTTCCTCTTTTCCCTCATTGTACAAGAGTTCTTCGTCTGCTAATTCTTCTTCGTCCATTTCCTTGAGGTCAATTCTCCCTGGCTCAGGACAGGTTACAGCGTAATGTCCTTTTTCATAGCAGTTGTAACAGGTAGTATGGGCATCCGCTGGTGCTGGTCGCTTTACTTCACGAGGCTTCTCGCTAGAGTCGCGAGAAGTAGTTAGAGGTGTCGTACGAGAAGTTAGGCCTGGTGTGTTTCCTGGGAGTCGGGAAGCAGGTGGGGCAGAAGCTGTAACATTGCTTGGAGCAGAGGGGCGAGTGGGTCGTGTGGGTCGAGTAGCAGATCTCTCTTGGTATGACTTCTGGCGGTCCTCTCTTACAGCAATACGTCTCAGCTCTGTATCTATAGACAAGCAGTTGGCTGCTAGTTCTTGATATGTATCCAGAGTACGTAACATTGGTACAATTCCTCTTTGAAGTGGAGTAGTTAACCTGTCATACAGGTCCAAGCGAAGGCTTTCCCGGGGAATCTGTGCTTCTCCGGCCAGGTGTAGGAACTGGGTATGAAACTCTACAAAGGTCTAGGTTTTCTTCATTGTACAGTTGTGGTCATATTCCCACTTTGCGTCTCGTACTCGATTTGGGTTGACAAAGATAGAAGCCAAGTAGTCGATCATTTCCCTGGCTGAGACAAAACGTGTCTAGGAATCTTCGTCAACTCGCGGCTGGAGATGTTTCTGGGCGTCTCCGGTCGTGCGATTGAAGACGTAAAACATCTTGTCTTCCTCGTCTTGGAACTGGTCTCTGTTGCCTCTGAATTTCCCTTGGATCTGGATCTTCCAACCTAGGAACGTAGGGTCTGTTCCGTCGGAGAGGGGCTGAGGGTCTGGTAGTTTCACTGAGTACTTGTGGCCAGTTTTCGAGCTTGATATCGTTGATCCAGGGGTTTCTCGTTCCGTGAATCGTACGATGTTTTGAAGTGACGGTACAGCCGTCTGTTGGGCGGTGGCAGGGTTGCTTGGAGGCGGAAGGCGGCTGAGGAGCTGTTCAAGCAATTGCTGAGTTCGCGACTGGTCCTGGGTAAGTGCTTGGACTTGCTCTTGCAGGGTGTTTGAGCCTCCAGGGGCGTCATCGTAGTCAGAGTTCAGCTGGTGCTCAAACTGAGCTACTAGTGGGTTGTCGTTTTGCGGTAAGCCGTCGTCAACCTGGATTGTGTCTTCTGGGTTGTCGGCATTGTTGGTAGAGCGTTGTCCTGCTCTTGAGGGATTTTTTTGGGGTACGCCCGCGGGGCGCGCTTTTGGTGCCATCGTGGCGATTGATGGTATAGGTGTATGTTTGTGTGTGTTCGCTAGGAGGAATGCTCGTCTCGTTGCGTGGTGATATCTAGGACTCTCTAGTCACTAGATCTTCTCAATTTCTTTTGAAGAGCACTGCGGCTGGGCAATTGAGGATCGTGGGGTCCTTCTATCACGCTAGATATACAGGCAGGGAGATTATCTATAGCCTTCCCAGGCAGTGTTGGTGAGCTTAGAATAATGTGACGACACGCACAGCTGATGGACCGCGCAAGAGTGCACGACTACGTCAGGTATCACGAGTGGTGGGATTGACACTGTGGAACTGTCTATACGAAGATTCTAAGCTGAGGAGAGAAGAGAAGAAAGGACAGAAGCTCAGGAGCTGGAGGCTCTTATATACAGGAGGTGTGCCAAGCGCACCTGCTTAGCCGAGTTCCAGCCAGGGACTGGTCTGGAGCATGGTTGCCGCAGGGTTCCAGCCAGGGGCTGGTCTGTAGCATAGTGGCGGTCAGAACCGTCACATAAGTAGTTTAAAGATAATAATATATATTTCTAGTATAAGAAAGTATAGTTCGCGTATATATATAAGCTATAAAAGAACTATTAATTTAGGCTATTACTACACTCTACTCGAAGAACTCGATTTAGATATCGTAAGTATAAGAAATACCTTTATAGCGTTAGGTACTAAGATAGATTTTATAGGTACGAGGTAATTATAGATATAGACGTTTATAGTAGTCCTAGGGAACGTAAGGAAGTAAGTATAATACTTATAAGGTAGATATTATTATTTATAGTATTATTATACTTATAATTAAATTGTTAGCTTTATAATAATATTCGTACTTCTAATAAGACATAGAGTTTTAATACTTAGCACGTCCTAATTAGGTATAGCGGCGCTGTGGCTCGCTTATGGCCCTGTACCAAGCCTGGGCATTAAGTGATTTACGGTCCAAGGGATATTAATTACAACCCAAAACCGACTCTTTTAACCAGTTTCTTCTTTGTAAATGTAATACAAGTATTAGCAGAGTTATTAATATTTGAACAGTATTATATTTGGTACGTGGAACCCAACCGGTAAAGCAGTATAGCTGGAAACCCATAGAAAGGGTAGTTATAGTCATTTGGACAGGTAAAGTTGTAGTTGGAATATCTTTGGTCTTTTTAGAAAAATATCGTGAGACTGTTGAATTCATCTGATGGTCATTTAGCCTATAGGTGCTTGAAAAACTCATGTGGGGCTCACATAATTGAGGGCAAGTTCTCCCTGCATGGTGTAACATTAGTAACATTACTATAGTTCGGTGTGCCCCGCATTTCAAAGCATTTACTATCCTTTAGGCTTTCAACGAGATTGAATTCCAACACATCCGAAGAACTGACAGGAGTAAGGATCTTCACTATGCCATCTGTAACATAGACACCCGGATTTCAACATATCCAAATCAAGAAACTTCATCCTACATTTGGTGCGGAAGTATCGGGTGTTGACTTTTCGAAGGAAATCCCCAGTGAGATTTTTGATGAAATTTTGGAAGCGTTGATTAAGGTGAGTTTCCATCTATTTGGCGATATTCCTACTTTAATTTCCTATGTAAACACTCCTCAATCTTGTATTAAAGCAATTGGGTTGCACGCTAAATGTGAAAGTATGCGGTCTGTGTTTATAGAGACACTGGACTCGATGATCGCCGACATGTCGAGTTCTCAACACGATTTGGGGAGTTAGATGATATCAAACCGTATTTAACGAAAGGTGGGTCTAGGAACAACCTTTCATATTAGCGTCCCTTTTTCGAGGAAATCTACTAAGAGGGCATACAGGCCGAAAGCTTCGATATGAACACCTCGAGTTGTTTGACGCAGGAAATGTTGACGACGAAGGAAAAGTCTTGGCACCAGATGATCCAAGATCACAGTACAGCAAAGTATTTTCCATGCCATGTGTCTAGATGTCAAATGTCTAAGCTCCCTCAAAGGGCAATTTTGCTTTTCCACGTAGACTCTTCCTTCAATCCTCGTCGAGCATCATATTCTCTCCTCCGCGGCGTGATCCTCCCACCCCCAGAAACAGGAGGAAACATAGACTTTGCGGATACCCGCACAGCCTACGATGAACTTCCAAAATCCACAAAGGAAAAACTCCTCAAAGAAGATTACGTCGTCGCCCACTCTTTTCACCACTCCCGCAAAATCGCTGCCCCAGAATTCTTCAAAGATCTCGATCCAAGGAGCATAAAAATGTCCAAACACAAATTACTGCAAGTCCACGAACCAAGTGGGCGTATGAATCTCTACATTGCGTCACATGCGCATCACATTGAGGGGCTTCCTAAGGAACAATCTGATTCCTTATTGAGGGAATTGATGGTGCATTGTACGCAGGGGAAGTATACATTTTCAGTGCAGTGGAGACAACCTGGGGATCTAATCATTTGGGATAATACATGTTGTTTGCATAGAAGTGGCGCTATTGAAGGTGGGTATGTGAGAGATATGAGGAGGACTACTGTTCATGATGGAAGTTCAATGGCTTGGGGAATGAACAGAGAAGGAGAGAGAAAACAAGGGTTTACAGTTGGCAGGATGGGAATGATGCCTGAGAGAGAGAGTTGGGTTGAAAAAGATAAGGTTGTTGTTTGATGGGTGGTGCTGGGCTTTGATGGGCTTTCTTTGGCAGATCAAGTATAGATTAAGAGAGAACAAGGATTCTTGGTTGTGAAAAAACTGTTCATATTGAGACAATGGTAATGTTGCTATGTTGTTCCCTCTAATCAGAGATTTCAGTGGGCTATATCTTCCTCCAGACTTACCGTCCAGAAAACCAGAATCATCCCATCAGCAACTCTCTTTTACACACTTCTACGTTACCAACAAACACATTTTACAATTACCAATTTATCATCAGCATTTAAAATGAGTCACTCGTCAAGAAGGATGAGCCAGAGTTCCCGAAACACTGCTGGAGGCCAAACGATGCGAACATATGGACGCAGCCGTACCAACGGTCGTACTTCTCAACGTAACTACACCGTAAGTATCTTAAACACTGGAGCCAACACTTCCGGGAGAACCCTTGGACGTAGCAACTCAAACCCGAGTAGTTCCCAGCTTTCTAACTCTCGCAGCAGTGGTAGGCGCTTTCGACTAAACAATACAGATGGCTCGTCGCAGAGAACTAGCGTCGCCTACACCATCTCAGATGGAGATGGAAGCGAGGCAATGTGTGATGCACTGCCTCCTCTTCCCCTGGAACTTCGTACCTCGTCGCTCAACTCTCTCCAGGAAGTCCAGTCTTTGAGGCTCACATCATTCCAGCTCCCTGTAATGTGATGAGACCAGACGGTTCGCGATCATTTACTACGATGGATGGAGAGCGTTACTGTTCCATGTTTAATAGCTCTGGTGCCATTGGTACCTGGGTAATTGGCAATGATTAGAGGACCAGTGGTGGTGCAATGGACAGTGTTAGACCTGGCAGCATCAATCGAACTGGTAGTATGTCTAGCAGTGCAAGACATAGCCAAAGACCAAGCGGTACAAGCAGCAATTCCAATTCAGGTTATACCGTAAGCTCTGGTAGTGTTAGGCGAACTGGAATCTTTTGGATTTGACTTTAAGCTACACAGTTCCTCTACCTACCAGATCTTTTGGGCGACAGGACCCAAACCTCCCTCTTTTAAACACCCCACACCCCCAGCCCCCCTAAAATACAAAACCTTCCTAAAAAAAACACAGTCCCTTTCAGGATAATTAAACCTCTTCCTTTGTCATTAAATATATATGAGATCCATTCGACTTAGATGTGCTACCCTTTAACCCCCTTTGATAATAATCACCTCGAGCCGTTTTGAGATGGGAATATCCTACAATCCTTTGAATTGAATATTTGATCGATGAGATACTATCAAGAGGCACAGAAACAAAACCCGCCGAGTCTTATTGTTCGTCGGATTTCAAAGCGGGCTCGAGCGGGAAAGAAAGAACAAGAATAGAAGTTCCATTCACAATGACCGGATACGGTAAACTAGCCAGCCACAATTCCTTTGTCTTATAAAGTTATGCTAAATACTCTCAACGTCGTGTTGATATTACACTAGCGTTAACATTTATTGGCTTCAAGAGGAAGCACACCGTTTTCCCCATAAGCAAGAGTGCTTCGTAAATTCATTTCCCGTGACGTTCTCGAGAGATAGGAGCGAAATGCAATGGCTTCGACCGGTGGAAACCCTGTATATATAGGTAACATGACGAACGAGGAGCGGGAAATGATGCGAACCTATGCAGCAAACCCTGGAGGACCAGACCGACCGAGACGAGACCTTCATACAGCGGCCCCTCCTCCCGTGCCCAGGCACTTCACAGATGGGTCTTTGCTAGATACTAACCCGGGCGCTATTCGAAATACTAAGCAGAGGCTAGAAGAGGGGTTGAAACAAGATGAGCAAGCGCGAATACTTGATAGATTTTCTATTCCAGAGCTTCAGGCGGCGGGCTGTTGGGGACTTGAAGATGCCAAACCAAGCAATCTAACCATCCCAATACACCCGATATACGCAAGAGAAAAGTGGATTCAAAGAATTGAAGATATTGATAAGGACCCCTCGGACTCGGACGGAAAGTACGAAAACAAACCCTCTTTACCTATTGGTGCCATCGGAGGTACGGACTACGAAGGGAATTGGGATGCTCAAAAAAATCAAATTGTTTGGGATGCATTAGAACCAGCCTTACGCTTAGCCTCCGCAATGCTTGTCAATTCACGCCTTTGGCCCAGGTGATTCTCCGAGTCTCACTTTTTCATTTTATAAACTTCTAATCGCAAATAGGTTAAATGAATTGTTGTATGGCCAGTGGACTCATGTCGATGGAAATCTGTTGCTAGGGATGGAGTCAAAGGATACAGACATCCAAACAATTACAAAATACGATGCTTATCAGTTTGTGCCTCGGATGGAATTGTCCGTGGAAGAGCAGAAGGAAGGGAATTTACAACGTATGAATTATCTCGCAGACAAGATAGAATGTTCTTTTTCCAGCGGTGCGGTGCGGGGTGTACAGGCATATGGGGGTATACGAGAGCGGAACGGAATCCCTACAAGACATTCGTCGTATGTGTGTATATATCTTTTTCTTGAAATGATAATCCTAATAATTGTAGCATATAGCGCCATATCTGGCTTATAGATTGCTGGATAAAACGCTTACTGTTTCAGAAAGACTCGTCCAAGAGGCTGCTTTTGCTAAGGCTGTAAGTTAAGAATTATGATCGTGTTAATTAGGCATTTTGAAAGCTAATATTGAAATTGAAGTTGGTGCATGAGACTATGGTAAAATGCTCCTTTACTTTCTTCTTTCTTCATTTCCATTACGAGAGGGCGACCCACAGTATTAATACCTTCATAGCATGCTCTTTGCTCGATGACTATCGACCTGCGAATAGATTCAGATATCCCGCCTCTCGTTCCTAACGAAGAAATAGAAAAGTTTAAGAATTGGGATTGGAAGTCTGTTATGCATCCAGACGGAAAGTATCCGTTAATAACAGAACCTGTAAGAAATTCAGAATGTCGATAGCTCATCTTGTACTAAGGATTGTCGAAAAGTTCTGTTCAGACGAAGAAGTTGCCGAAGTAGGAAAGTCATGGGAGAATATGGTTAGATCGGTTTTCTCTTACTTTCTCGTTACGCTTTAACCAAGTCCCGTGAAGAGGTGTTGAACGTTGCTTACTAAATACGTGCAGGTCTTTGGAGGTTCAGTCGGTGCTATAACCTCAATGCAACCTCAAGCTTGGGGTATTGGGTTCTACCCAGTAGCGGTCAGGGTATTAGAAGATTGGCCCAGTTGGATGGAGTACAAAACGAGATATCAAGGTAGCTGGATTGTGAAAAAGCGAAAAACCGAACGCTTTGAAGGTTCGACTTTTGGTAGATGGCCCATTCCAACGAGATGCTCCGAATGGCTTGGACAGCAAGAATTTTGCGACTTTCGTGTGCCAAGTATGGGTCGACAAGCACTTCATGCTCCACGGATAATTGGTCAAGAATGGTACGAAGGGAAAGGTCGTTCTTCTACTCTCATGGGGCCAGGCCAGATGCCAAGTTTTGGGTTCCAGGTCTGGATATTAGCAGAGCTACACCACTTCCTCCCGCCCCGTTGGATGGAGATAAACTGGAAGCTTGGAGGTATGAGGAGCAACGCTTGAGAAGAAAACACACGATAGACTCGATACTCTACAATGATGCTTCTAGGAAAGCCAAGATGACCTATCTTCTCAAGTGCGCCCGTCTGGCGAAAGCCATCGACACAGCGATAATTGCGTATCAAGCGTCTGAATTTAAGACTGTTCACCGAATACTCCTCGGCATACAAGTATCGGATGTCCCGAAATTTGATCTACTTCGGGATGCTTTTTACTTCTCTCTATACAGCCGCGCCTCGAAAGGGTCTTATAAGGAACAATCTCTAGTGCACGGCGCGGCAGCGAAAGAAGTGTTCCTTGCCTGGGAGAAAGCGGAACTTTCCTGGATCACACAGAAGGAAAGGTTTGGTTATTGGACAAAATTCGTGGGATTTGACAAGATACGCACATCAATTGCAGATATTCTAGTTGTGTCTGGGCACTTAGATTCCAGAAAACTGAAAGCTTTAGATTGGGATCTATCGCAAAAGCGAGTGATGAGATGGAGGGCGTATATTGATGGGGCTATCATGGCGATGGGTGGAAGTTTAAAACAGAGAACTAAGACCTTGGCACGAAGACTAATTGGGAAGGAACCTCCGTCATGGGATCTGGATTAGACTATGGCGAAATCCACGTCTGAATAGCTTTGGGGGACTATAGATTATTTTGTTAATTCTCGTACATAATAACTTTGCTGGGGCTATTGCCTTTTGGTAATGAAAACACACCTTGTAAGACAAAGTAAAGAAACATAAACAAACCTACCGGTAGCTATTCTAACGAGCATATTTGCCATGATATCTCATCATGTAAACTCTGGAATTTTCAAATTTCAAAACTTAACATGTTATCATAGTCTCCTTCGATGATTTATCTAAGGACTAGATTTCCCTCGGTCCATAACGGACGTATTATCTGTGAACTTCATGTTCCGCCAGGGATGTTCTCGAGAGTTAAACTGGTTTCTAGCATACCTATAAACAAAGTTGATATTATATTGCATTAGCTAGAATTTGTGTCTCAGGGAACTTGGAGCAACGTTATCATACTTTGGTATTTATCAAGTTATATACTTTTTGAATTATATGTGGCAAATTTAGTGTATCTCCTGGTTCATATTAGCAAGTACATTTATAACAAGTCCCGAGAAGAAAAGATATGGGATATGCATATGACTGTGGATCAGAGACTCAACTCGCTTACCAGACATAGGAGCAATTATTACCCCGCGAGCCCACCCCCACAACATGCAGCAGCGTGTGGAGCCAACAAATCAATTACTTCAAAAGGCCTTCTTCATTTGCACGGCATGAGAATAATAGAGACAGAAGCACTTTAGGATAGCTTCAAAGGACCGTTTTAAAAACTGTAAGCAAGCAAGTTCAGCACATTTCAATATACAAATCCTGACCTAAACCTCACCAGTATGTTGGTAAAGCATACAAACGTGATTTCCATAAATAACTTCTCACCAGCATCACCACCCACAGCCACCACCCATCAACAGAATCCTATTGCCCTCCGTCAAGTTTCACCCCAAAATTTTCATCCAATCCAATCACTTACATGTAATCCACGAAATGTCGAAGGTTGTGCTTGTACTGTAACTCCTCAAAGGCGGGGTAGCTAGCTGATTATCTGCCGTGTACCACAAACACAGGAATCAACCGTCGATACCACACTACCATTCACATCAATTGTTCTCATTATCCTCAATTATATAATAAAATAGATAGAGTGTACTAATATCTACCAAACCAGCCAACATATCAACAACTAATCGCCTCCCTAATGACCCTCGGTGCTCTCCTCTCCTCCCTCCTCGCAGGTACCTTTGGCAGATACTTCGGCCGCAGAACCGGAATCTGGGTTGGCGTTCTCCTCAATCTAACTGGGATAACCATCCAAATCTCCACACGCTCAAAAGGCGTCCTCTACCTCGGTCGTCTCGTCCTGGGCGCTTCAAACGGCTTCCTGACAACATTCTCGAATATATATACCTCCGAAATCGCTCCCGCCCACTTGAGGGGCGTCATGGTGGGTTTCTTCGCCTTCTGGGTCAATGTGGGAAGTATTGTTGGAGCGGTGGTCAATTATTATTTCAGTACTGTGCTTGATAAACGGTGTTTTCTTGTTCCGTTGGGGTTGCTTTATATTGTGCCGACGATTCTGGGAATGGGGTTGTTCTTTGTGCCAGAGAGCCCGAGGTGGCTGTTGTATCGTGGGAGGAGGGATGAAGGGAGGAGTAGCTTGGTGAGGTTGAGGGGAGACAGCGTCGAGGAGAAGTTCGTTGATATCGAGTGGGCGGAGATGGTGAGGGGCATGGAGGAGGAGAAAAAGGATCGAAATGGTGTTAGGTGGATTGATATATTTCGAGGTCAGCACATATACCTCCCTTCGTGGGAAAGAACACTAACAGGTTACAAGGTGCCAATCTCCGTCGTACCATAATTTGCTACGCAGTGATGGCATCCCATGCAGGCTCAGGAACCTGGTTCGCAATCTCATATGGCACGTAGTTCCTCCAAATCGCCGGCGTCGACAAGCCCTTCCAATACACCATCATGTTCGTTTATATCGTAGCACTAGCATCTCTGATAGGAATGTACATCGTGCGTGAGCACCTCGGACGTCGCAGTGCCATAATCACCACCATCATCGCCTGTGGCCTCGCAATGATGATTATTGGTATCGCAGGCCAAGTTCAGACGCCCGATAACAAACGCGCGGTAGGGAAAGCACTCATCGCCAGCTCAGCAATGTTTTCATTCTTCTATAATGCAGGTGTAGGAATGATTAGCTATCCTATCGGAACGGAAGTCGTGAGCTCGGGACTTCGAGCGTGGACCATGAAGACGGGGATCAGTTTGAATTATTTCCTGGCTTGGTTGGTGGGGTTTTATTCGCCATATTTCATCAATCCTAATAGACTCAATTGGGTATGTGCCGTCTTCCCCCCTTTGGAAATCAGTCATCCTAACTTTGTCCATGGGTGTCAAATACGGTTGGATCTGGATGGCATCCAATTTCCTCGCTGCGATATTCTTCTACTACTTTCTCCCCGAAACCAAAAACCGATCATTAGAAGAAATTGACGAGATGTTCGAGAATAGACTGGGCGTGAAGGATTTCAAATTGTATCATACGAAGATTGCTGAGAAGGCTTTGGAGGATATACGAGGATCGCAGGCGGACAATGGGGGTACTTGGACTGAAATTGAGAAAGGTGTAGTGATTCAACATGTTGAAAAGGTTGAGAAAGGAGGAGATAGAAAACGTGAGGATATGGTGTAGTGTTCAAGAATAAAGCTTGGGGGAGGTAGTTGATGGACGACTGGATCACACAGTAATCAATTTTTGTGCACCTCGAGAGGTCATTTTACGACAGATTCTGAAATGAATAGTTCATTTGCAATGGAACACTAAGCCTAATCAAAACCCCATAGAGAATATTGTCAATTAAGCTGACTGGTGGTTTCTACCGTGTAGAACCTGCATGCATAGAATGGAACAGGAGCGTACAACAAAGGAGGGCCATATATATCCTAACGCAATATAAGCCAGGTTCTTGACGAGAGTAGTTAGCTCTCCAGTTGTCTGGATACAAATTTCTAGCACCCCAGCCTTCCACATTCCTAGCAACAGAGAATTATCATCATACATAGTCGTTATTACAAGTTGAGTTTAAGATGAAAGCTGTCATATACACAGCATTACCACGTGTATCTAGGAGCTCAAATACGCTCAAATATGCTCACACAAGAAGATACTAGAAACGCCTAGAAGCTGGATGATGACATTGATTGAAATGACAGGCAAAAAAAAAGGCTGGGTGAATATTGGTGCGATAGTTTTCCCAGCCACCCTTTGTTGCTATCCCAACAGAATTCTGTTCAGAACCCATTTGAGAATCGAAAGTGAGGGAGTCAAAAGGATCTGGTCAGTTGTGGTTGAATTAAGTTTCTCGCTTGAAATCAGGGGCTGAAAAGGGGAACCGATAGGGGGAGTTTGAGACTACTAACCGACCACGTGATTCCGGATAAACAAACCCGCTCATACTCTTGGAGTCGCCACTTCTGTGTTCCAGTACCAGTTCTTTACTTCTAAAAGAGTAAATAAAAATGCTTAATGCATGGAGTATTCTGCTCAAAGACTGGGTACCTTAAAGGACAGCTCCATGGCCCCTCCTTGCACAGTTTAACCCCGCTGAAACTGAATTCCACTCTCTGCTTTTCACTGTAGCTCTTTCCCAACAATTTGAGTTCTAGGCATGACCAGAGGACTAAATCGGTCTCTCTTTACTATCAAATCTTTCTTATTACAGTGCGGGGTTCACTTTCCCCTTGTCTAGAGGACAAGGGTACCCTGCAGAAGAATTGTGAAGTGTTGAGTCTATGAATAGTATGTCATAAAGTTTGACACTGCCAGACATCTCAAGACAGATCTATGTACACACATGGATAGAGATTTCTACAGAGGGTAAGAGTTGGATCTGTATCCCTTCGTGGCTGAATTCAGTGTTGATTGCAAGGAACAATGACAATCGCTGCGTGTAACCTGTAAGACTCAAAGTCAGAAAGTATCTGGTAGTGGTAGAAGGAAGTAGCACTGAAAAAAACACCTGGCAATCCACCAAGCAGGTGATTCCATGCACACCGTGACGACTTTACTTTCAATCTTGTCGCGCTTGCGTCTTACCCTGGAGCTGCAGCCTGAAATTAGGGTGGCTGCGCCTAAAATGGGGCGGCACAGCAGGCATTGTTTAGATCTGACACCCTCCACCCTCCAGCCAACTCAACAACAATCAATCTGACGAGTCTCTCTCCAGAATCCTCGACGCCTCGATCAACATAAAAGGTCGTCGCGCGCACATTTGAGCTCCTCTCATCTTCAGTTTGGTTCTCTGCTCTTCCCCTCATATTACTCTCACAAATTCTTGCGACCTACCTCGCTCTCTTCCCCTCATATCGCTCTCAGAAATCTTGCGACCTACCTCACCCTCAGACCTCCCCCGCACCTTCAACAAACCTCAAAAACCACCACACGCCCTCACCGTCAACCACCATGGCGCCCAAGAAAGCCGCAAAGGCCTCCAATGAGGTCTATATTGTCACAATCCACACCATGGTTGACTCGGCCTTCGCTACCCTCGATGCTGCCCAAGAGCGGCTCGAGCACTTGGAGATCGATGGCCAAACTGACGTGAAAATCACCACCCGTACCCTCAAAGGAGGATCGGTCGCCGTCGCCATCGAGAAGGAGAAGGAGGCAGCAGCAGCCCCCAAGAAGGCCGCAGCCAAATCCAAGGCCGGCAAAGCCAAACCCGCCTCTGACAACAACGACGACGACNAGAAGGAGAAGGAGGCAGCAGCAGCCCCCAAGAAGGCCGCAGCCAAATCCAAGGCCGGCAAAGCCAAACCCGCCTCTGACAACAACGACGACGACGATGCTGAAGCAGCCCCCGCCCCCGCACCAAAGACCAAGACCGTCGGAAAGCAGCCCACCGAGAAGGCAATGCCTCCCAAAGGCCCCCTCCCCGCTAATATCCAAGCCTTGCTTGCGGGAAAGGGTCACGTTTTCGATAACAAGTCGATTGTAATTACTGGTGTCCTGCCTACAATTCCCAGAGAAAATGCAATGATGTTGATCGCCCAGTATGGTGGCAAGGTTCTGAAGACTCTGAGCAAGAGAACCTCCTTTGCGCTTGTTGGAAATGACGCCGGCCCAACCAAGCTGAGACAGATCGAGGAGAAAGGCATTGAGATCAAGTACGAGGCTGAATTCATTGCCCTTTTGGAGGCTTCTCATGCTGCTACGAAGCGAGGTGCCAGTGATGATGAGGATGGAGCAGATGAGCATGGTCCTGCTAAGAGGCCAAAGAATTTCGTATGGACTTAACCAGCTTTGCTGAGGTTATGAAGCGGAGCGGACTTCTTTCATGGTTGGCTTGCGGCTGTACATACTTCTTTCGCTTTTGTACAATGGAATCATCGGTATGGTGATGGATATGGGTCTTTCTCTGGGTTTCCCTTGGAGTCTTTCTATGGAATGCATTCTGCATGGATATGGCGTACATCTGGCAGACACAAGTACCAAAATGAAAATCTGATTTGCCGACTTCTAGATTGTGTTTTTGCTCTGCGTGATATTGTGATATTGTGAATCTTTACGTGCCAGTCGTCTAATTAACTAATACTTTGGCTTTGACCTTGATAATATCAATGTAATCCGCTCAAGTATTACAGTTTTTGTTGTTTTGTCTTCGTGAATTCTTCTAGCAGATTGTGGTGTCGTTATACCTGAAATATGTGTGCTAGATTCAAGTTCACCGGAGACATGTCATGTGACAGCCCCCCTTTCTCCGCTCCTGAATGCAATTTATCGTAACCTTCTTAAGTATTATTCTATTTCCGAACAACTCCCTCATCTAGCATTTCTAGATATTAGTTCTAACTTATTAAATTTTTACGTCTTAACCTCCCTTATATTTAACTTTATTTATATATATTTTATTTAATAATTCTAGGGAAAGTTTTATTTAGGTATCTATCTAGACATATCTAGATATATGATAATTAACAAGAATAAAGTAGATATCTAGTAAAACTATAATTTGTTTATCTAGTAAGAAGATATCTACTTATAAGTTATACTATTACTTTTCAAAGAACTAATAAATTACTTTATAATAAAACCTATTAAAGTAAAGGTATTTAAGTAAATAGTTAGAGAATACTCTTCTAATACTATTCTACTAGATTAAGAAATAAAACCTTGTAGGTAAATATATATTAGAAAAGAATAAGATAAATATTAAACTATAGAATTTCTTCTAGATTTCTTACTAGTATTATTACTTAGTATAGATTAAAAAGTATAATCTAGTAAAGTAGATATAAATCTAAATGGAAGTAACTATTATAATAGAGACATAAAGAGATAGTCTTATAATTTAAGTAATAAAGGAAATAAATTAAAGGAATAATAATATAAAATAAATAATATTTAATTTAAATATAAAAGACTAAAATAAGAAGACTAACTACTTAGTTAGCTAGGAATATATGCTTAATTATTATTAATTTATATAACTAGTTCGAATAATAAAGTAGTAAACTATTTATTCTTATAAATATTAAAAGTACTTAACTTATAAATAATATAATAATAGTAGTTTAACTTAGAAAAATTAGTACTATAAGGTTATATTAAATAAGTAATCTTAAGGTTTTTATATAGATTTTTAACTTAGAAATAGCTGAATTATAAAGACTAGGTAGTATAACCTTACTGTTTCTTCTATTTTTTATGTAACTATCTATTTACTTTAATTAATATTTAATAACTAGAATTATATTTTATTCTAGAGCTCTGTTTTATAATTATTCTATAATATATAAAATCTCTATATAGAATTAGTTATATAACTCGGAAAATATAAAAAGCTTAACGTTCGAAAGAATTACTTAGTAAATCGAGTACTGGTTAAAGTTACTTATTGTTAGGTTTATACTAACCGGTGTTTCCATATTCCTAGTAACAGGTTATTAGACTGTGTGCCAGCCAGAGCGGAGGAGCTAGAGCGGTATACTAGATCGGAAACGTTAGACAAAGGAAGTGGGAAGTCATATTCACGCGTTACTCCTTTCAGTGAAATCGGTTTACGTATCCCTCAGCTTCAGTGGAATCGCTTACCTAACATCAAGTTAACAAGGCGGATTCGTACTTGTCGAAGTCTCGCCAAATTCCAAGTTAGAATTAACCCCAAAGTCAAGCCTCGCTAAAGTTAAGCCTCGGCAATTTTATAAAAGTTAGCTCCTTTACCAAACCCTAGCTACCCTACCACCCGGTGGACAAAATAAGCTGCAGTTTTTTTTGGTGGTGCACGGGCCAAAAAAACTACAGCTTATTTTGTCCACCGCGTGCCTATGTACCACGAATCTCGAATGTTTCTTATAGTATAGGAGTAGGATTACAGAAAGGTGTATATAGAATATTAGTATAGAAGAGAGGTATATAATAGGGATATTAAGTAGATATCCTATAGAAACGGTAATACTCCTCTTATAGAATATAAGAAGTAATAGGTAGGGGGTAGGTTAAATAGTATATATTAGACTAAGGAGAGTAGAGGTTAAGGCTCGTACTCGGGCGATATATAGCTGACGCTAGCTTATATAACGCTAGTTCAAATCCGGAATTACTATACCTAGGTGTAACGAATACTCAAACTGGCTAACTAAACTTGGCTGGGTGTTCGCTGGTTGGTATGCTATGATAAGAAGAAGTATAAGATTGATAACTAAGTTGAGCACGAAGCTCCTATCTAAATGGCAGACGTGCCAGTCTTATATAGAACCTTCGTTCTCTGTCTAATCGCTTTAGTCGCTCGCCTCAGTCGCTTCAGTCGACAGGCGACTCAGGCGACTGAAGCGATCATGGTCACGTGGTACTTTAATCCGACGAAATCCATGGATCGCTTAGCTAGCCTAAGAATCCCCTTCTGCTATAAGAGTTATGATAATGCTCGACCTGTCAGGGCGCCGCCTGGTCTTCACTATCTCCCGTGGTAACACGTGATTCGTGACACTAGGCTCTAGTTACTATGTATATAGATCACCTTAATAAAGAAGCTCTTAGATTTATTTTAAAGTAGTCTTTATTCCTATAGTAATAGAAACTAGGTATATTATACGTACGTGTAAGTACTTAGAAAGTAAATATATTAATTCTACTTTAGGTATATAGCCCTTTTATTACCCTCTTGTAACGAATACTCAAACTGGCTAACTAAACTTGGCTGGGTGTTCGCTGGTTGGTATGCTATGATAAGAAGAAGACTATCGGATTGTTCACTTGGAAGTGAACTCGTTACTTGTATCAAAGATGTCAAACTAATATGATAAGATTGATAACTAAGTTGAGCACGAAGCTCCTATCTAATGGCAGACGTGCCAGTCTTATATAGTGTCACGGATGCCAACAAAGGATAAAGTGTATACAGCTTTTGAATCAATTGCTAGAACTAAAACCGTAGGTACGAAGAAATCAAACTAAAGAGAGAAGAGAATCTGAAAGGAGCGAAGTTATTTAAGTTGTTCCAATGCCAAGTCTCGTCACGTGCTTGGCCAAGCGAATGAAATCCTGTCAAATGAAATCCAGCTCCGTCACATATAGAACTTCCGTTCTTTGTTCCAACAGTTGGATCGCTAGAGTCGCTCGTCGCTCCAGGCGACCCAACTGTCACGTGATTATAACCAAAGGAAATCCCTGGATCGCTTAGCTAGCCTAGCTGATCCCTATTTGCTATAAGTCTACGGATGTGCTTGACCTGTCAGGGCGCCGCCTGGTCTTCACTCTTCACGTGTTAACACGTGATTCGTGACACCTCTACTCTAGGAGGGATAAAACTAAGTTATTTAGCTAACTAGGCCGCGTTTCTAAGTATTTAAGCCTTAAATAGACTAATATTAGGAATAAAACAGGAGACTATTAGAATAGGCTATAAAAAGTAGATTAAGGAGTAAATAGCTAGCTAAGGGAGAAGTAGGGTGTCACGAATCACGTGCTAGCAGGTGACGAGTGAAGACCAGGCGGCGTCCTGACAGGTTAAACATTATCATGGACTCTTATAGCGAATAGGGACGCTTAGGCTAGCTAAGCGATCCAGGGATTTCTCTTGGTTAGTTATCACGTGATGGAAACGAGCGACATGGCCGACGAGTCGACCATGTCGGCCATGGTCGAACAGTCGACCATGGCGACCACAGAGAACGAAGGTTCTATATAAGACTGGCACGTCTGCCATTAGATAGGAGCTTCGTGCTCAACTTAGTTATCAATCTTATCATATTAGTTTGACATCTTTGATACAAGTAACGAGTTCACTTCCAAGTGAACAATCCGATAGTCTTCTTCTTATCATAGCATACCAACCAGCGAACACCCAGCCAAGTTTAGTTAGCCAGTTTGAGTATTCGTTACACTAAGATAAGAGTCTCGGCCATCTAAGACTATATTATAATAACTAGGTTATCCTATCTATTTATCTCTATTTTTCGTATACGTTTATCTAACACCTTTACTATATATAATAGGAATACCTACTTATTTATCTACGTTAGAAAATATCCTATACCTTACCTTAGATATCTAGAAGGGATATTTAAGAATATATATAAGACAGTTTTATTATAGAGGTATTTTAAATCCCTGTCTATATTTTAACTTTAATTTTCTTATATATTATAGAATTCTTTACTAGACCTAGGCCTTATAACGAAATTTAAGAACAAGAAGTAAAAGTTAAGCTATTCGTAAATTCGAAAGTACTTGTATTACGGCACTTTACTATTCCTTCTATTTCTCTACCTTCTTAGATACCTTATAGTATAAGGCTTGAAAGGCTACGATCTGAGTGCTTTTAGTCCCCTTTCAGGTCTTTCTTTATAGAAGGTGGGACTAGCAGCTTCTATATACAGTCATTTAAGTTTGTAACATAGATGCAAGGGGTTAGGTAGAAGCATCGAGCACTTTTACGATTCCTAGATTTCGCTAGATAGCCGGTGCTACGGAACGATCTTAGCCAGCCGAGACTCCTGTCCTCCTGTCTCTGCTGCCTACTGTCTCGGTTGCCTAGGTGGATGCCTAGTATTCTAGTAGCTTCTACTCGGTCAGGGTCGTCTTATAAAGACTCCCTGCTCCCTTAGCTAGCTTTCGACCTTATGCTTATCCTATTCTACACTGTGTCCTATTTGTCTTCTGACAGCCGGATTTAAGCGAGCTCTAATGCGGACGAAATTTAGCCCTATAGGGATATAAGGATTAATCATGTATCTTGTGCGATTAGAATATACTAAGGTTCTAAGCGAGATGGATAGCGTTCGGCGTCTGGAACTATATTCTATAGAACTCCATGGACTCCATTCTATCTAGAGTCCTTCTAGAGTATCTTTAAATAGAACGGACTCCTTCTATCGAGTACCCTCTAGAATTCCAAGACTTCTTTAGAATTCTATTTATAGTTAATATTATTATAAATTCAAGTGAATAGCCGTATCTAGGTAGAGTAGTATTGGGTTGAAAGGGTATTGGGTACTGAAGGTCATGGAGAATTGATTGCATTGTAAAAGGTAGCTATCTAAGGTGTTTATATAAAGAGTGTTAGTTTTATGCAGACATGAAGCATTTAGGCAGCAGAGCTATAAGTGGATCAAATCAGGAAGTGGAGCAAAAGAGAAAGTAGACCCAGCACAACAAGTAGTAAGAGTGGATAAGGGTCTTTCACGTAATATATCTAGGACTCTTTATACTTATATATGTTATAAGCATTCCTCCCTCCTCCCTAAATATCAAGGCGCTATTACGGTAGTCTAAGACCAACCTTCCGGACCTAGGAAACATTTTCCGGGTCATGTAACAAATTCCAGCTGGAATTCCATAAAACTCCATAGAGTACCCCCCTCTGGAATGGAATCCTTCTATTAATGTACTAAATGGAAGCGAGTCCTTCCAGAGGGGGGGTCTAGAATGGAATGGAAGTCCAGAAGCCGAACGTTGGAGATGGAGATATAGGAGACAGGGTGAGTTAACTTACTAACACTTTACCTTTGTATTTGTTAGAAGGCTTATTGTTCAGCTAAGGAATACACTTATTCTTTGTCTATATTTGTGTATTCTTCTACAACATCTTTGGGGCTACTCTGATTACGGCACAGGTACTCTCGGCCTACCTGTTACGCTAGTAAATTCTATAGAAAGCAATTATAAGACTGTTCCTTTTGTTCCTCTTCCTTCTGAAATGCCCCATCCTTTCCAGATTTAGAGGAACAAAAAGTCTATTCACTTGAAGTATGTTAAAGTGTTCACTGTTACATTATCTTTCTCTTGAGACGAAGTCGTTTAGCTAACCAGGTCATGATTCCGAGTATTTAAGCCTTAACTGGACCTAATTCATTATCTAGCTATATCTACTCTAAGTGTACGATTACACTTGATCGTCTGTAGTCTGGATGAAATATTAAGATGCGTGATAGGCTGCTTTTCTAGTTCTCTCTTTGTAGCCTATGGGGCTAAGAGGTAGTTTGGGCGATTGTTTGAGCTTGTGATATAGATACAAGTTGCAAGGTAGACCGTAGAAGTATTAAGCTCTTTTGCGATTCCTAGATTCCGCATGATAGCTTGGCTGAGTTTAACGGTATGAAATGCGGACAGATTTTGGCCCCAGGGCTGCATAAGCATATATGTTCTATTTTTAAGCGAGCTGAATGAGGTGGGCCTTAGGCGGGGGTTGGGGGTTTTAGTTCTCCATTGTTTCTGCCCGTCTCTATCGGTAGGTTGAGACTATCCGGGATTAAGATTACTATGGGTCTTTTTCTAATAAGTTGGCAAAGGCAGAGATAGTGATGTCTTTTAACTGAATAGCTTAAGAGAAATGTTAATTTCAAGAGTGGTATAGAGTGGTGAAGAGAGAAGAATCAGACAGATGTATATCAGATGGTGAAAGTCCGTAGTTATCATGTGGGCCTTGAAAAGTAAGATATTAGTTTCACCTACATAGTTCCAGAGAAAACAGGAATGTTAGCTTTGGCGTTTTATAAAGCAAGCGTTTCTTTACGCTTGATCAACCGGGATTCAGAAGCTAGTGTAAATTTGGCGTACTTTGAAAGGTGAATGTCTACTTGGTTTACTACTCATAAATCGTTATGCCACAAAAGCGGATTCAAGATAACTTCATAGTTGATAAGTCTAGATATCGTTAATCGAACACAGGATTTTGTCCCTTCGTAATAGACAAGAGATGCTTAGTCTCGGGTATTACTACTCAATTCTAGAGGATTCCAGAGATAGATCAACAATAAAGCAAGGATAGAGAGAGAAGCTAAAGAGAAGTAGCGGCGGCTCTAATCTAGAACCTTTTATCTAACCGGTTAGAAGTATCCGGAATAGGGCTAACTCCTTTCATGGAATATGGTAGCGCCAAACAGGGGATCCGAGAGTGCTCATGCCGAAAAGACTTGTTCAATGCTAATTGTTACTAGATTAGCTAGGTAGCCACATTATATTATTTTGCTTAGTCAGGTATATTTAGAAACATGTTCTGCTACAGATGGTTTAAATTTGTCTCTGAATTAGTCGGCATAGTAACCCGATAGAAGACTCTAAGCCAGAAGCCATTTATTGAATTCCCTTCAACATGAAACTATTGCCTAGGTACATTGTAGACCATAGCAATTAAATTACCTACCTATCATTTACTCAAGAATTTTGGAAAGCAGCGGGCCAGCAGGAGTAGGTTAAGGTCAGCATAGTCGCATGAAAACCTGCGATCAGGTTATCTAAGTAAAACACTCTGTTTACCTCAGGGTTTGCCTCTCACCACTTTCACGTGCAGGTTGCCAATGCTGTATGTAGGATTAAGGCATAAATAGAGCCTGGCCTAGTGGTTAGCTTAGCTCTCAGCCGTAATAAACACTCGCTCCTGCCATCTTTTTTGCTCTTGAATCTTGGCTATTCCACTGACATCCAAACCTGTGACCAAAAGATACACAATATTTTATCTCAAATCATCTCAAAATATGAATCTCTGCCCAACAAGCTCCTCACTCACCTCCCAAAGCCTTTCGGTGATTGAAACATCAGTTGCAAATGACGCAGCCTTCGCGAACTGACAGTCGGACATGTAGACCTCTTCAGTTTCTAAAATGCACATAGATAGGTCAATTCTCAGTTCCACCAACCATATAAAACAAAGAGAGGAAAGAACGAAGAGGCAAGGGAGAGAGGGGGGAAAATGCAAACCTCCAAGCCTCGGATAAAGCCCAGCAACTAACCCCGTAGCAGCACCCTGATCCCCCGTTTTCCACACTTTACTCGTATTCTTGACAACGTCCTTTCCTTCCTCATCTAGGTTCCTTGCTAGGTTCGTCCATATAGCTTCTCGAAAATCAGCCATTCCATTCCCCAAAACGCTCTATTCCAGACATGTAAAATAGAACAACATGGAAGGAAAGAAGGAAGAAACTCACACCCAGGATGCACGCTAATCGCCAAAATCCCCTCCTTCTTGAATCTTTCCCGCAAAGCAACAGAGAAAAGAATATTGCCCGTTTTGCTCTGTGCATATGCTACAAAGCTACTATAGCCTCCTTTTTCTGGATCATAAACCGCTTTTGACAATCCCTGTGGTGGTCTCTCTTCCTCAGGGAGTTCTGAGGAAGGTTTGGTGAAATTGAGGTCAGAGAAGCGGATCGGACTTAATCTATGACCCGCACTCGTGAAATTCACAATTCTCGTTGCGCCGGCCCTCTTTCCTTTCTCTCTCGCTGCATTCTTAACTTCGGGAATCAACAAATTAGTCAACAGAAAGAACCCAATATAGTTCGTGCCAAAATGCATTTCGAGCCCATCCTCCGTCATCTCCTTCCCTTGAACATTTACAGCCGCAACATTGAACACCAGATCCAATTTCTCCGTCAGCCCTTTAACCGTTTTGGCTGCTTCCCGGATAGAGCTCTGAAAGGAGAGATCTATTTCCACGGCTTTGACCATCGTCTTTTCATTTTGGGGCAGTGATGAGGTAACTAAGTTGATATTTTTGAGAGAGCGCGAGGCGAGGATTAATAGGTAGGGATTGTGGGGAACAAGAGCTTGGACAAGGTGTTGGCCTAGACTATTTGGGCTTACTCCAACGATCAAGACTATGGGAGGTCAGCGAGGTGTGAAATGTGTCTTAATTTTTTTCTGAAGCTTTGAGAGGATGGGACTGACTTGTTTTCCCGGTGACATAGGAGGAGAACGTTGATGCGACTTCTGTGGCCGTTGTTGTGGCCCCAAAGTGTGGGTTTGTAGCCATTTTCAGTTCTGGTTCGAGTTCTGAACATCTGGGGACTTGAATAGTATTTCTGCTTAGATTTTCATGTTCGGGGGGTCGTAAGAGAAGGTTATTATTCTTGAGATTCATGTGCAGATTACCCCACCTCGAGTCCTTTTATCCGTCATGGTGCGGGGTAGTTTTAGAGTCAAGAAGCACAGAGATATTAGATAGAACAGGAAATGAGAAAAAGATTCAATCTTTTTCCTTGTCACCTTTGATTCTTCATGTATTTACGAAGAAAGATTTGGATTCAGCCTCAAGATGGATCAATGCCATTCACTTGATCTCTATGCAAGTTCACTGACAGCTTTAGTCAGCAGACCAAACGGTCTAGTATGCTATTGAGCGGGTAGTGGAATAACATTTGGTGGGAGAGTTTTCCAGTTTCATTCTCTTTTATTTTTGCCGTTTTAAAGTACAACGTCCCTTCAATTTGATGTCCATTCACGATCATTCTGGCAACTCCGCCATGAAATGAATATCCTCGCGAAGTCGAACGTAACCCAAGTCATCACCTTTTCTGACCATCATTTAGTTTTCTTCCAGTCAACGTATGCTGGGCAAACACTAGCAGTGACGTCACGCTGAATATCTTCCAAGATCGCCTTCAATTCGTTCCAAACCCGGATACCAGCTTGCTTTCCATCCATACTTCTGACCCACTTCGAAAGAGCTTCATCGTTCATTCGTCCGTCGGAGAAGTATTTTCCAATTGACTCGTTTCTCGACATAGCCGCAGTAACCAAAGTAGCTCCTCCCGTCTCAGTAGTACGTGCAAAGAGGTAGGACAAGATGGTCATGAAGATATGTTTCTCTCGTGCGAGGTCCGACTTGCAGAAACCGGGGTTCACCATGTTCATAACAACGTCCGATCCTTCCAACATTGGTGCGATTTGTCGAACAATCAGGACTTCGAGGAGCTTGCTCGTTGGGTATCGGTCCATCGTAACTGCAGGAGTAGCTCGCTCTTTATCGTCGAATGTTTCGAAAATCATCATCTCCTTGAGTTCTGTGAATTTGGCAATCAGATGGGCGTCGCTTACGACCATGGTGAGGCGAGGGGTGGTGCCACACTCTGAAGCTGTAGTCTTGAGCTTTGGGATCATTGATATGGCGAGGTAGAAGGTGCTGATGACATTGATTCCAATGATCCGCTCGCGGGACTTCATATCCCAGCGTGCCGAAAAGGTGTTCCATTGCAAGGAAGCCATACCCGCATTGCTAAGAAGGACGTCAACGCGGTTTAGTTTTGAAGCTTGCTTTACGAATTCATCGATAGACTCATATCTGCACAGATCGAGTTCCCAGACTTCAATGACATCCGACTCGCATTGTGTCGTGGCTTTAATATCTCTCTTGGCTTCTTCTCCTGCTTCGACGTTGCGGACGGCAAGGATGAGTTTTCTGGCACCAAGTGCGGCAAAGTGACGAGCGGCCTCCTTGCCAAGACCTGTGTTGGCGCCAGTAACGATGATTGTTTGGCCTGCGCAGGTAGTGTCTGGTAATTTAGGATGCTCAAAGAGCTGTGAGTGCAAGAAGCTGGACCAGAACTCATAAGCACCCATTTTGATGAAGGAGTGGGGTTGCACTTGATGGTGTTTTGGTTGTGCAATGTCTAAAAGGAGTTGAGTATGAGTCGGTCGGTTTTATAGATCTAAGCGGCACTAGTGTCGTCGGCTAATTCAGGGAATCCGTGTCAATGCGCCATCGTGTTGTGAATGGCAACCAGAGCTCCAAGTCTAAGCGAGAACTCTTTGGAGGGAGTCCGTGGTGCTTATATGAAAGACCGATCCAAGCATGACCAATCTGAACTCGTGTACTGGTGACACAAGGATGATTTTGATAAGCCTCCGTAAGCCGATATAACTTATCCTATTGTCGTTTTTTAGGAGGAGAGAAGTCAATAGGATTTAGTACGCCGCTTACGTCGGTTTCACCCCGGAAACTCTGTCTTATCACCGTACAACGTGTCCAGGTGTCATTGTGCAACCGGTTCACCTTCAGGCCTAGTCTGAGTAACACAACATCCATGGAGACGTAGGTATGTATGGTCACAAGAAGATAGCAAGTCCCATATTACAAGGGAATTCAAAACTTCATTGTCTTATAGAGACGCTTTTGACAGGAGATCGCAAATTAGGAACCTTTATTAGTTCTGTAGATTCAATCGGATTCGTAGTGAAGAAACAGTTCAGAGGCTGAACATTCTGATCCTGAGGTAGCCCATCGGAAACCAATTTGCACCTCATATAAGCTCTGGAAATCCTACAATACAGTGTATGATTCATAAGCGCGGCCGACAATGCTGATGTGGCCTTGACGTGAAAATTATTTTATGCATTGTCAAACTCGGTGATTGAGCCCTGATTAGGAATGTGATCACAATTTTGCAAGAAATGTCGGGACCAAATCGCCAGAGACAATTACGAGAATTACAGCGATTCAGAGTGGTAGTGAATACCAGAACTTCAAGAGTTACTACAATCACTCATAAGGTACCCAATTTGAGGTGGAGACAGCGAAATTGAAATCCACAGCTATCAAAGAAACATGTACAGTCAATGTTACTCCTGGGCAAGAGCTCTATGTCTGGAACTTCGCACTATCCCCAATCATCTCTTAGCCTCTTTCGAATAAATCTTATATCTCTAGTGGGACTCAGCTCTAGCAATATGAACCCTATAGATAATGCTAAGAACCAGGCGCTCTTTCAGGTAGCAAAAGACATTCTCAATATCAAGATCCATCTGGCTACTATCACAATCTGTGACTGACAGTCAGCGTCAAGAAAAGAATAAAAGTATGTATTGCCTTGAAGCAAGTCGGCTCCCTCCCAATCCAGTATTGACAGCCTTGACATCCAAAAGGACCCCACAATATCTTCAAGGTGGATGAAATTGTGATAGGCTCTTTCTCCTTCATCCCGCCGGCACGCAATCACTCTAGGTCAACCGGCATCCCAAACGCGAAGTTTCCATCCTTTTCGGATCCTCGGACACATTTGGGGTGAGCGAGTATTTCGAGTAAGCCAAACCTTCTAACAGCCACATGCATTGCTCCTTACATAGCCCTCTTGCAACAACACCTTGAGTTGACCATCAATTAATTCCTCAAGTGAGGTACGATTTACCTTGAGAACTCAAATCCATTCGCAACCTGGGAATATCTCAGAACAACATTGAATACTCCCAGCATTCGAAATGTGAAGAAATACCGCCTTGACGTGGCTTCCTTTGATGGCGTAGATGGCTTTGCTTTGACGTAAGGCTGCGGCAAAGAAAGAAAGTTGTTGAGGGCTGTCCCACTTGTCTGTCAGCCTTTTATCTCGCGGGTATTAGATTGATTGGAGATGCTTATGGTGTGTTTCGCATGGTTGGACAGGTTTACGCATCGGGGTTTTGGACCGTAAGTGTTGGTGCGACATTTCCCATGGGACCGGATAACCTTTTTGTCTTTCTTTTCATACATTTCATTGTGAAAGTACTTTTGATTCTTCCATTTGAAGAAGGGGTTGGCCTCTCGAAAAACTTGTAAATAGCCCGTTTCTAGCACTTGAAGCCTAGTTTTATTAGATAGTGCATGAGGTAAAGCCTCATTTTCTGCATGATACTCCTAATTAGGCATCTGAGCGCGAGAATATGCTTACAAGCTTTTGTGGTGAGACTTTCGTTTATGAGCCTACATCCGCTTTACAGTCAGATTTTCCTCCAAGAAATACGATTCTGATATCGTGCCTTGGTTATATGTAAATTATTGTACTGATACTCGCGTGCCTGAGAGAGCTAAAGCAACCCCCCCAAGAAGTGAAATGGGTTTGAAAGGTACTTGCGCTACACAAGTTTGAACTGCATATGCCGTCATGTGTCTACTTAGCAGATTCTATTCTTGATCTTCATTAGGCGATCGCAAATTAATTATTCATAGAACGATCCTTAGGTTCAAGTTACTGAGGTTGGTATGACAAGCTGCCTTGGAGCAGCGGTATGAGCCCCACATTACATGAACCTCCACGTTGACAAGTACTCGAGTAACTCTGTTGTAAACGCGTAAACCGTCAGCCATCTGAATCTTATAAATGCCGCAAAATAAAAGACGTATAGATCTGACAAGGGTTGGCGGAAAAATCGCTTTTTTACGTACAACAGTAATCTCCGGGTGGCTGAGCCGCCACATGTTTGATGTTGATTTAGTGCTGAATGCAGCCCGCTTCTGATTATGGTAATTGATAGTATCACTGTATATTGGGCCAGTTGGAAAAGAGGCGAGTCTGCCGTATGATTGAGCAGCCACTTTGGCGCATGTGCGAATTAAGTACTTACATTACTCAGAAGCGAATGGATAGCGTGGTAAATAATCTTCCATCAGAATAATGGGCAGATCGGGTGGAGGATATATCTTGTATGCACCGAGCTACGTATTCAGAGTGGCCAGTAATTTGCGACGAAGACCTTATTCTTATGTGTAGAGCATCGTAGTTGGGCTTTTCTACCTAGTGACCCCTACAGAAAGGTGATCTCCCAACTTCTACATACCCTTTACAGTGAGCATATGAGACATATCCACCACCGGATCCACCCATTTGTCGCAATTGCAAGGACGACTTACCACGGTACCGTAAGCCTTCTTACTGAAGCAGAAAACCGAAAATCCATAGAGATAGTGATATTTGAATCGAAGTTAAGCCTTTAAACATATTTAGTAAACGAGGCGGATTACGACGTGGAAACAAAGATTTACAGCGTTCGGCATCAAGAACACGACTCTATGGAATATATGGAATTCCATTCTATATGGAACGTTCTAGACCACCTTTAAAATGGAATGGAGTATTCCAGAAAAGAGGCCTCTAGAATTATAGAATTTCAGAGGATATATATAATCTTATTTATGTTCAATCGTCAGTCGGTACACGTCACATCAATGATCAAAGGAGGCTTATTGTTAGTTTTTCTTTTTTATTACCGGCTAGCTTCGAGTGCTTATAGTTCGCCCATATATAAGTGGAAAGCGAAGAATAAGTACCGTCGGCCTCGTACCCCTTCCAGGGGTGTAAAATAAACTAGGGTCTAAAACCCTCCTAAATCGTAAGGCGAGCCTTCCAGCGAGGGGAATGCAGGTGGGACAAAAAAGAGCTTTAAAATACGCTTAAGAGGAAAAATAATAAGCGCTAAGTGCTCGGACTTCGACTATATTATAGAATAAAGGCTTTATCTAGTAGAAACAAAATATAGAGCAGGGCGATAACTTTGGCTAGGCAAGTAAGGAAGTACAAAAACGTACCCCTTTCGGGGGTATAAACGGACCCGGTCCAAAACCCTCCCAAGTCGCCAGGCGAGCCTTCTAGCGAGGGGAATTTGGGTGGGACAAAAGAGCTTACAAAAGTGTAGCTGACCATATGGTGGATATTGTGGTGGTGTTGAAGGCATGTGGCAGTAGTGGGGCGGGATATATATCCCACCATAGCGTACTAAGCCTTCATCCTCATTCACTATAAATCCTGCCATTTAACAAATAAGAGAGCTTAATTCAAGGGGCCCTAACTAAGCTAAGCCCGCTAACTAAGTATTATACTAATTAGATATAACTTATACCTTTTAACCTTATCTACCTATAGGTACTATAGGTTAGTTTCTAATCAGCTATAACATCCCTATCCCTATTACTAGCTACGTATAGTCCATATATTTAACAGCTAGGTTTAATCTCCCTTAATTAAACGGAGCGAAATAATCATTTTTCAGGTCATATAATGAGTTCTATTCTGGAATTCCATAATTCCACTACGGGACATGGCATATTTCAGGGGGTATCCTAATGGAATGGAATATTCTATACGGAGGGTCTGGAATAGAAGGGAATTGCAAATGTCGAACGATGGAGATTCCTCTGCTTTTTACATTTCTTTAGGGTTTGTGTGAATAGTTTCCTTTAAATAGGTAATACTGTAAAGTTTGGTGAGAGCCATCTTTCCCCAATCCCAGTCCTCCAAAATACCTCCCTAACATTATCAGTACCCCATTCAATTCAACCCAAAACATACCACCATCAGAATATTCCTCCTGTTTCAATACAAATACAAATACTCCCAAAATCACATGACTCAACTTTTCCCAAAATTCCCCAATATTAGTATCACTCAAGCACTAGCAGTTCCTAGATAAAAGAAGCGATGTATACCGCCCTACTTAGTAATAACTAATAAAATAGAGAAGCAACGTAAGAATCTACGCTATCTAAACTTACAGGCCACAGCCACAGCCACATTTTGTGTCAGCGACGAGATCAGGAGTCGGATCCGTCTTGGAATTTGTGAAGTCTATGAAGTATTTCGCAGGTATAGGTAGCTGCCGTGCGAGAAGTGAGTTACATGATAGGTAGAATAGAAAATCAGGTTTCTAGAGCCCCTGAAGAAGCCCTACGAATGGACATAGGAGATCAACGAGTACAAAAGAATCGAGGAAGGAAACGCCATCACTTGTAAAGAAAAGAGAGAATCAAGGACCGGGAACCCTGTATATTGTCATAAGTAAAAAAGTGTCGTTAATTTCATTCTCATCATTATCGTCAATCAAACATATATATCTACATCCACTCATCACCCCTCACACAACCTCCTCCTCAAGAGCCTGCCGTCTCGTAATCTCCCTTCTCTCCTCCAGCTCCCGCTCCGCCTTCGTCAACTTATTAGGAATAACCTTAATAAGCACCGGAATCAAAAGCGCCAGAATCATCCCCGCTCCCAAGAAAGCAGCGGTAACCGCCCAGCCGAGAGTATATCGCGGCGCAGTGGTATTAGGCCAGATACGACTTCCATAGACACTCGAGAGATTTCCCACGGCGTTGATGATGGCGAGACAGATGGCGCGTTTCTCGGCGGGGAGATTGATGGTGGATGATACCCAGGCCAGGATGAGAGGCAGAGCGGTCCAGATTCCGGCTGCGACGAAGCAGAGCATGACGTATCGGACGGTGAGGTTGGAAACTGCGACGCAGACGATGGAGCAGACGAAGCCGAGAGCGAGAGCGGCGGAGATGTGGTATCTGCGCTCGTTGCAGCGGTCGGCGGAGTAGGCGACGATGTTCAGAACGACGGTAGCGACCTGATTTTCAGAACTTTTGTCAGTATGGTTTTTTTGGGCGTATCGGGATGTGGAGGGAGTAAGGAGAATTGGGAACAGTGTTATCTCAAGACATTACAAGAAGGTAAACTTACAATGTACACAGGAATTGTCATGTACTGCGCTGTTGTAGTGCTATATCCCATAGCAACAGTAAGCGTAGGGATGAAATAGGAAATGGTTCCTGCCCCAACGTCGAAAACGAACAACAGCATAAAAAGATAGGTACGAATATCACACATGGCAGCTTTGAATGCTTGCCAATGAGTCAAGCGTGGCCCTGAGGCTCCACTTTCAATGCCGACGGAAAGAATTCGAACAGTGGCCAGTTGACGTTCTTCCAACGTAAGAGCTTTCGAGGAAGCGGGAAAGTCCAGGAGGATAAACGGCGCAATGATCGCGACGCCAACAGTTGCAACACCTTCAATAATGAACAGCCAGCGCCAGCCATCAATTTCATGTGCGCTGTGCAATCCTCCGGTGATTCCGCCTGCCAACAACCCTCCGAATGCACCGGATAAAACGGCGGCACTGTAGAAGATCGCGAAGCGTTTGCCGATTTCTGCGGGCTTGTACCAACAGGAAAGCAAATACAATACTCCTGGAAAGAAGCCGGACTCGATACACCCAAGAAAGAAACGGAATGCGAGAAGGGCCGCGTAGGAGTGAGAAGCAGCCATTGAAGCTGATAAGGCTCCCCATACTAACATCTAGACAGAGATTTGGAGTCAGTATACTGCCTGAAACTTATTTAAAAGTAGCAAGAAAGAACTTTCGAGACTGGGCGGGAATATCTCGGTTCTGAAGTCGTCCTGAAAGGTCCTGAAAGGGGTCATTGTGAGAAAATTGGTACTCACAATGGCAGGCAAAAACAGTGACGGTCTTGATCGAGAAAGAATCATGTTTGAAGGAACCTCGCAGAGCAAGTAGCCAAAAAAGAAGATCGATAGAACCCAGGCGTATTTCTGATCATCGAGGTTTAAATCATCCGCCATACCTGCTATCCTCGCGTTTCCTATGTTTGTGCGATCCACGTAATTCAGAACGTACCTTGTAAAAAGTTAGCTTGTACTGTGCATGGCTTCCACGATAAATTACAACCGACGATTCTTGTTTGGGTTGGAACCGAAGAATATGCCAACGTGGCATATGTCTAGATTTCTTCCACAACCCTGGTACTCACGCCACTCAACCCTGAATGTTGCTCTTGGTATCACTTATCCTCATGACTACACAAATAAAGTACAACGTACATAATCCATAGACATGGCATTAACCGCATATCAATCTTTCTCACAAGCTTCTTTTCGGCATCACTACCCGGAACATATTGACTGAGGGCGATCTGAAGCTCTTGGTCTTCTGCGTTGGTGAGTCCAAGTTTTTTCGCAGTAGCTGCGTCAAGCTCCGCATGGTTCATTTGGGGTTTCTTCTCCATGATGAAACGAATTGCTGGAATGAAGATGAGTGAGAGTGGAGAGTTGCAACATTATTAGACCTGTTGAATAGGCCAGCTTTATACTTGCAATCGTTCACGGCGGACTCGACGGAAGTATCTCGGTCAACCAACGAAGAGTGGCCATGTTCTCGAGTTCTGGGTTCCCGACACTCCCTCAGGGATGGCAACTTTTCCCCAGATCCAAGCCTTTCCAAGCTTTTTGCCCTGTCGTTACCGTGAATGGCGTGTGTGTTCTCCACACGAGAAAGTGCGGAGTATATCTCTTGGCGGACCTTCCCCATCAGGACTTTTCAGAAATCTCTCTCACCCTACCTCAGTCGCTTCACCTTCCTGCTCTAAGGTTCTGGCCATTATCGCCCCGTTACAGTGCTTTTGTAATGACCTGCTTACCGTCGAGATTGTTGTGAAAAGCTGTAAGCAAGTGTATGGTTGTTTGTCCGATCCAACACGCTAGACCAATTTTACGAACTGGTCTAGGCTTTTTTGGGCTGATTCGTTCAATCTTCTCTGTATTTGAAATCGTAAGAATAATTAAGAATTATCCTAAAAAGTTAAGACGATGAAAGCGTTTTTTGCTGCCGATAATTTGACCCACTGCCAGCCACCCCACTCGAAATTACAGCTTAGTGGAGTCTTTTGGCCCAATCGAGAGAATCTGGCCCCAGATTTCTCGGTCAGATTGCCGGCGCTACTCGCAGCTGGTGACTCGCCAATCCACTCCACTTCAGTGGCAGCCAAAAAACGACGATCACATAATGATACGGTCGTCTTGATTCATGTGCGGTCCAGCCCCTGTGATTGAGGTTACATCAAAAAATCCCAGTGGGAAATAATGCTCGTCAAACAAATCCATCGAATCTCCATACACAGAGAATGGGGCGATGTCACTTGCTTCATAGCCTGGGATCCCAGTTGCTGGATTGCTGGATGAAGACTGATCCTCTATCTTGGCTCGATCAAGCATTTTCGCCAGCCCATTGGCGATTTGATATGCCAGGTGTCGCTCACTAGCTCGAACTCGCTTTAATATATCAATAGTCTGTTGAATGAGCTCTCTGGCTACTGTGGCATCGGACACTAGATGAAGCGACTTCCATTTCCTTTGTACCTTGTGAAGGAATACGGCAGCGTAGGTAATCATGGTTTGAAGATAGAGTGGAACTCCAACTAGGCCTTCTCTTATATCTTGCTGGGTAATGACGAGCTGGAGGATGGAGATGGCGCTCGAAATAGCGAGATTGGCGTATTCACGACGTGAGGGAGAGAGCTCTGTTGGAGGAAGTTCTTTAAATCCACGGAGCGAAAGAGAATTTAATTGAAGTTTGCTGAAATGATAATGCAAAGCAACACCCTTCGAGGGGTATGTCGAAATAAATGGGTTTGGGTCTATTGAAAAATTATTAAGCCTGTTTGAGATGTGGGAAAGGTTGCTTGTGTACCTAATTGTGACTCCCACCTCATTCGCCAGCCATCAAGATCCATATTGAATCCTCTTAATAAAGCAAGGTCATACTCTTCTAGTATGTGATCAATATCAGGCCCAAAGGTATTGTACATCTTCGTGAGGATAATGAAAAGAGCCACTTGACTGAGTAGTCTTAGATCCGGTTGTGCCGTTCCAGGCAACTTCAGAAAATTTTCATGATTAGCAATAGCTTGATCCTCATGTATAACAGGTGGTCTTCCAAATGCGATACTGAAATGGTGGTCACAAACATATAGAAGGTACCACAGACGAGCTGCGTCCATATGTTCGGGACCGTTAGTTTTACGAGCTTTGTAGTAACTCCTATGAAGGTTGAGTTCCGTTCCTATGCGCACTGCATGGCCAGATAGTTTCCCTGACTTTGGGATTAGCTCTTTTTTCATAATTCTTGCAAGTTTGATTTGAAGCAGATAAGGGGGAACTGACAAGACAAGTCACTTATCCAAAATGCTCCTATACATAGACCTCTGACAGTATCAAAACAATGTGAGCGATTCAGCATCGAGTTTGAAACGAGGGAGGTGAATTCAGCATAACAAATGTCAAAGATGACTGCTTTTCCAGGAATGTGGAGTGCAGTTACACCCAAAATTGCCGCCAGAAGTAAGGATGAAGACTTCCGAACTGATTCTAAGTTTGAATGGACAAGGGCAATCCCACCCCAGAGATAGTGATTCAATGACCGGTTGAATACACCAAACAGGTCTAGGGCATCTTGTATGTCAATATCCCCTCTTGATATAAAATCCGTCTCGAGTGGCGAGCGAAAAGAGTCATTTGCTTCAGGGTTGCGTAGGTGCCGAAGCTTTGTCACTTCATAGAGTGTTCCCATTGGGGCTCCAATCAATGTATCTTCTTGCGAAGTTTCGGGCTCGATGGAATTTTCTCTGGTCATGGGCATTGTCCTCGGCGTAACTTCGATCGTCTCTTGCGGTGATGTCCTCTGTTCCATCTGAGAAGCAGTGGCAGAGTCAAACGGCACCAGACGTTGTGGCATAGGAGATCCATCCTTCACTACTGGTGGGGCGTTTGGTCCAAAGGAGCTCAATTTTGGAAGATTAAGGACGTTTAAAATTTCTCCTACAGCTGCTTGGAGTTGCTGTGAGGAGGTCTGCATACCAGCTTTCCATCTGTACTCGGAATTAGCTGCCATGGCAAATTGAAACATGGGATGAGCATTAGGGGTCGTTTACTCTGCTTCGTCTACCAAGATTGATTGCAAGCTCTTATTAATGGTACACTTAAGATTCTTTTTCTCACATCTCGTACACGAAGAACGTCCTTGGTTGAGATCGCATTTGATCTTTCGGGATTGGCACTCTGTACATGCCTGGACTTTTTTAGACACTTTTACAACCCTCCCTGCCATAGCGGTAGACGGGTGTATACCATCTTTCCCTGCTGAATCACCTGCACTTCCGCGATCCTGAGTATGGCCGGCCCCGGGAGTACCGTCCAGGGTCACATGATTGGGTCTCAGGGAGCTATAGGTAGCTGGAGAGGTAGAGGTGAGGGGAGAAGTTGAGGATTCTTCAGTTCTTGCACGCTTCATCTTGCCTTGGAATCCTGCTGGCGAGACCCCATGGGGAAATGGATATGGTGGACACCGTGGAGTAAGGTCAGGGTGGGTTGGTGAGATTTTCTTCCAGTTGAACAAGGTTGCTTGGGATTTGATCTTGGCTGGCGAAATGGTTGGGTCCCGACGTCGGCAATTGACGGGAGTTGGGAGTATTGTCACGTGCACCCCCTCTGGTCCCGTCACCCGGCGGGGGCCCGCGGGCGTCTACCGAGAATCCATTGCTCTCGCATGGAACCAGAGCCGAGAATCCATCGCTCTCGCATGGAACCAGAGCCATGACCATCCCAACCCACTCTCAACGTCTCATATATTATGGTAAACTCTCCTCGAGTCCTCCGAATTCAACAGTACGTGAGTTGTTTAAACGTCGTCGAAAATATGCGACTTTCGTAACCGAGTATGAGCAATCTGGGTCAGCCATCGCCAACCACGCCAATTCCTTTGGGCCGCAAGCGAGTCAGCAAAAAGTGAATGAAAGGCCACCACACTTGCTTGTCCAAATTATGCTGCACGCCGAGCAAACAGACGGGACCAGCGGTTCGATTACGACTCACGAACTTGTTATCTTTGCAAAGCAGGCTGCTCCGTACGCCAAACGGCTCAAATGCACCAGAAGCCTCGGTGCGCCTTGCAGGATTCTCTTGTCTCTTGTTGACTCGGACTAAGCTCCCAAAGCACAATTCAAAAAGACTCATAGTTGCGGGCGATCAGGTCACTTCAACTGACCTTTCAAAGTAGAAGGCATGCAATGCTTGGATACGAAGACTCTCTTTATCACCATAAACGCGCCTCTGCCAATTCAGAGCTGTTCTATCTCCGTTGATCGAGATTTCACCACGTTGAGTGTTCAAATTCGGTATAAAAACAAAGACGACCCGGCAATCTGATGTCTTGTGTCCTAGTTGATGCCTCATTCTATGGCCTGAACGGAGTTTCCCGGCCTTGCAAGGGTTACTTTCGGCTACTTTGTTGGCGTCCGAGAGGAACGCAATACTTAAAACTCTGCCAGTTTGGCGCAGAAGAAGTTCAAAGGGAGCGTGGTTTTCACCATATAACAACAGTCAATTTTGTAGTTGAACAAGGTCACGAGACTCTTTTCAGCTTCCAGGTTTTTTCGGGAAATGTGCCACGATTTTCTTGGCAGATCAGCCTCCCTGGCTGTGCATGTTGGACAACCAGGCTTGCTACAGGACGCCTGCAGGCGCTGAACGCCCGTTAATTCTTTAAAAAGACAATCGGAAATTGGGCCTGACGGTAGGTTCCGCATGAGAATTGTTATGTCTTTCCTAACCACTACTCCAAGCTCTTAAGGTCATCTAACCGTCGGAAGAGAATCCTCCTCGTGTACCTGTTTTTAGGTGGCGTTTTGTGCGGTAAAAAAGTGATGCCAAATGACAGTAGTCTTCAAGCCAGTCACTTACTTGGTGCTACCAATACTTTTGCTGAAATTTGCTAGTTTATTTTTAGTCCTCTATAGCGACTTGCCGTTGTTGGCAAGGCTGAGTACAACGTCCCTAACCTTGGAAATACAAATTTCTGCCACTCTACTATCTTCAATTTTGACCAGCTCAAGTTTCACGACAATCTAGAACACAAATCTCGGCCACAAACAACTTTACTAAATGTTTTTTAAGACTTTTTGTCTTTCGCAGATTAAGGTTTTGGTTTTGCTCCGAATGCGTACATTGTCGGGCTGAAAGGATGCGAAGGATTGGTACATACTTACCGAATCTATCGGCGCAGATGAATCCCTCGCCAAATCAGGCTTGATTTCATATTTTGACTTGGTCATGGCAGGTGATTGGGGTCACTAGAAAGACCGTTTTGATAGGCTGCGCTCATGAAAACACCAGAAAAGCCACACTTTGGTGTCGGTGATCCAGTACTGATAGCTGATGGTTGCAAGCCTCCACATGGGAAAGTTCTCCAAAGAAAGAAATCACAGGCTCCTATTCCGACTTCATACTTGATCGATTGGTTAGGACACGATGCTCACTTCTGATAAATACCCTCAGTTCCCTATTTTCAAATAACCATTTTCACTCTACCTAGTACTCTCACTACTTTCTTTACTTTTCCCTCTTTCTTCTCTCACTTCTCATGATGTTTCTCAAACAGCCTGTCGTTCTCGCATCAACTTGCATTTCTATCCTACTCTCGGGTTGTGTAGAAGCAGTCGCTATCACAAGTCCAAGCAGTTTTTCCTATTCCGTCGCTCGCAATGCATCTTCTACGATTTCAAGCTCCAGTACTAATGTTCCCACGAATACGACGACTATTACCTATACCCGTCCCAACTCGACTATCTCTTCTAGCAGTCTAATAACCCCATCTCCTACTCACAAAAACACTACGAGCACAGCTTCTCAAACTGGCTGGTATGCCTTCGCTAATAAAACTGCCAACGCTGGAACACCCACTCCTGAGCCTGCTATTCTATCACCAGCCATTCCCCCCGGATTGGATAGACATGATCCTATCGTTCTACAGCCAAACACTTCCGTATCTCTGTTTTACCAGAGTCCAGCACCTACCAATGCTTCCGGTGAGTTTGAATATTATCAGTCCTTGTAGGCTTTTGTAAGCGGATAAGATATTGTGCGAGCACGCTTTACGCATCCTCACTTGCGATTTCTTTTCTATGAAATCTTATTCTCAATCACTTAAAACAGCCCGCACAATATCCCCTTCTGCCTTCATTGCTACGCATCATGGTATCCAGCTAATTTACATGACCTAGATGTTGCCGTGGCCTCGGTCGACATCCCAAAAATGGCATATCCAGCCGTGGTACTCGACCATTCTGCCCTAGTAACACATGTCGATTGTGATCCAAACAACCTTCGAATGAAATTCCTTCACAGCAACGGCCTGGAGGCTGCCAAGGCGCACTGGTCAAATATGCCTAAGTTTGTTATGATGTCCTTTCATGATAAATGTGGACAAGCGAGCCAGACAGGAGAGCGAGACTATCTCCTCGTACACGAACTCGAATTCAACCATGAAGACCTTACAGCCGCAGCCAAAATTTCTCACATTGGCATGGTTGAAGCTGTTGGCGAGCAGAACCCGGTCACTGTTGATATGGGAACCTACACACCAGCATCTGTTGACGGCAATGTGGGATTTGACTCGGCAAATGCACCATCTGTTGCTTCAAATACGACCGCAAAATCTAACACTACATCCTCGGCCTCGGACTTTGATGTTGAACTTGATGATGCCATTGGGTATACCGGCCTCTCCAACTCCACTATCCATAAAAGATTTGCAGGTCTTGAACCTCATCAAAAATTGGTAGTCCGTGGATGGTTCAAAAAGATCTTCAAGAAAGTTGTGAACGCCGTCAAAAAGGTGGTTACGAAGTTCATTCCATCGTGGACCTTGACTCCCCTCAACAAGAACATTGACCTCAATATTGGTGGAGGAAATGTCGCTACTCCCTGGGGTAAGAAAGGATACAAGCTTTACTCCAAGTCCTCTGGGTCAAATTACCTTACCCTCTACTGTGTTGACTGTGGAGTAAGTGGCGTTGTAAATGTCAAGGCAACGGTGACATTCAACCTCATCGGTATAATATCCGGTGGAAGTTTCAGCGCCAATGGTAACATCGGAGCTGGTCTAGGAATTGGTGTTGATGCGAATTATGCTGCTTCCATACCAGCGTTCAACCAGCCTCTGGTCGCTATCCCACTCTCTCCATTTGCTATTCCAGGTCTCATCACAATCGGCCCACATCTTGATCTGGCAGTAGGAGCCAACGCCTTCGTCTCCGCCAAAGGTCAAATCTACGCAGGAGTCCATATTGGTTGGCCCGCTATTCACGCGGAACTAAAGTTATTCGGGGCCCCTGAAGCCAGTGGATGGACACCCAGCGTCACTCACGATTTCCAAGCAACAGGATCTCTTACATTAGGCGCTGATGCCTACGTGACCGTGAGCCTGGGATTCGGAGTTAGTCTCCTTAACGGCCTGAAGAATTACGGCGTCGCGCTTGTCGATAAGCCTGATATCTACATCAAAGGTGCCAGTGGAGACCCAGCATGTGCCCATGGTCTCCAAATCACCGCTGGAATCAAAAACGAGGTTTACGCCGATATCCTGGGAAGTCATCATTCGATCGCGACCTGGAACGGACCATCAGCTGGAAAATGCATCAGCATCAAGAAACGGGACGACGTTCTGACACTCCCAGCCCCTGAACCAATGTCCAGAAGACGATCTATTTCCAGAAGAGATGGCTCGGCAATGCAGATTCAGACTCCAGAACATGATATCGGTATCCACTATGCCGACAACGGAAACCTCTACGCGCTCGCTCATGGGAATGGTAGTTTGGTAGACATGTCGACAGTCTCTTTCGCCACGAACAACGGATCGATCTTCACTGAAGACGCACGGGGTCGTGTTTTCCATGGTTATCAGGATACACTTGACAACCTTGGGATTTCCAGATTCCGTCTCTCGCTTCCTAGCCATATCCCCAGAACAGCCGTGCAAATGTACATCCCTCTCTTCTCCCAACTTGATTTCGCGCTAACAGATATACTGCAGGACCTTACAAGCAGCCAACCTCGAAGACGAAACCGATGTCCTCGTCGCTCTTGATGCGTCGCATAATGTGTACTATCCGATTATTTGTACCTTCGGACAAGCTGACTTTCCGAAACTGTTCTTGGTTAAGGATTTGGAGGCGGGGGTAGTGAAGTTGATGGATGAGGCGAATGTGGATTCGATTACTGGAGTGAAACCTGAGGAGTGTGATTTTGTTCCTTTGATTGCGGTTTGAGGGTTGTTTGCTAGTTGGTTTTCTATATGGGGAGGTGACATGGTGGGATGTGTTGCGTACACGTAATTTGCAGTTATAGATTTTCTTAATATACCTTACCTTGTGGCAGAATTGCCATGGGTTGCGGTGAATAGGAAATGTCAAAACCTAGACGAACGACAACGTTGGGTTGGGCATCAACAAATAGCTAAAAAGAATCAATATTACCCCCAAAAAAAGACAAACCCTTTAAGCCCCCTAGCAGCATTGCCGCAGGAGGGCCCCTCAGGAGAGGCCCGTTGTGGATTTTTTAAGGGGTATTTATTAAGGAAGGGGGAAGACGTACTTTGAAACTTTTTTTTCATTAATTTTTGAGCGGAGGTAATAGGTTTTGTGTGGTTGGCGCACATGAGCAAGAAGGGCGGCGCTTTTGGGCAAGGGGAAGGGAAAGGGGACCACACGCTAACTGACTGGGCCAGGCGGGCAGGCTTACCAGTTTTGATGGTGGTGGTCGTGTTACTTGGGGATATCAATGTTGTTTTGCGATTTGTGTGGGGTTTTGGTTAAGCGAGGTGGTTTGATTGGTGGTTTTGGCGGGAACTTCGGGGTTATTCTGGGATTTGGGGGACTTTGCCTCGTCGATAGTTGTCTTTCTTGCCGTTTGGACTTTTATTTGAGGATCTTCATTGGTGGGACTTAGATCTGGAGATACCGAGGTAGTCACTGAGCAAGAAACAACTTTGAGAGCAGGTCTGTGGGCGGATGAAGTCGGCAATGCTATCAAAGAACTTGCGAATCGCAAGTTGCGCTATACGTATACCTATGGGGAAGCGATAATGTATTAGGAGGAATTGTATGATAAAGACCGTAAGCCAATGATTTCAAATCATTGACATCTGTGAAGCTTTATCCACACGGGAACTCAAGGCAGCTGAGTTAGTTGTTCCAGAAGCCTTGCTTCAATATATATTTATATTTTACGGGGAGCAAAGATGGGCATGATAGTGTATTTGATAACCTTTCTTGTTTTTGATCAAGATTTATCTGCAATAGAGCGGTTTCTAATTTCATTTTCAGTGAAGTCATATGCTATCTCAATTCTTTGTAGTGAATATGTTCAAGCTAAGTGGTTGGTGTAAACAAACGCGAGGTGCGGGATCCTACTGCGTCAATGACACGCTCCTGAAAGCCAGCAGGTCTTTTCATATTACTTGACTGGCGTTCCCAGATAAGCCTCGAGCAATCCTTCTCAGCACACTCTAAAGTACTCACAACTGACAGTCCTCCAAAATGTCTACAGTCAAACCAGACACTTTGGCACCCCAGAAGCGCAGCCACGGTCAAAAGGGTCTTCCACCGCCCAAGAAGCCACACGTTAGTTCTTCTGCCATTACAACTCCAAGTAAGCTCTTCACGCTTGAACACTTTGAGGACGATCTCAATTGGCAAGATATCAGTCCGCTCAAGCCAAAGTTGGAGACGAAGATCAAGCCCTTCAGAGAAACACCTACACCATACATCAAATCAGAAGGGGTGAAGAAGGAGGAAGATGTCGATGCCAAGAACGGGATCCTAGCCATTGCCAGTCTCCCTAGGATGGGTTCTCCCAGACAAGAACAGACACGCCGTATAAAATCGGAAGGAATCAAGAAAGAGATCTTTGAATCCAGTAAGGGAAACCCAGTCGCGGAGAAACCCGCCTTTCGCTTGGACTTTGGCCTTCACAATGAAAAGACGTTCGATGGTCTTATACAAGATGGCGAGCATAAATACATCGACTGGATGACAAACACAGACTTCTCTTCACGACCCGGTCTAGAGCATGCGCTGGAGGAGTTCAAGATTACAACGAGAAAGAAGACTGGCATCACTCTTGGTTCCATCAAGGACTTCGTGCCACCAAAATTAGGCACGGCACCTGCTAAATTCAACGACTGGTTAGGCAGTCCTCTGTGGATTACCATAAACCAGGCTCGTCAATACTTTGGAATCAAACACGGCTTGAGAGACTTGCCAAGGGTAGAGGGAGAGGGAAGGGGACCTCCAAGATACTGGCTCTATCATGTTTACGAACTCTCGAAATTTCTGGGGTATTGGACTAAGGAAGACGCCGATCTTTCTCTTGTGGGATTCTTGAACAGATACGAGGATAGGGTGCTAGAGATTGCGGAGGATATGCTTGGAGGTGGTGGAGGAGGAGGTGAAGATTATCCGCTCTGTTTTTGCGATGACGCACTCATTCGCTGTATTTGTGGGCATGATGGATAAGAGGGGGGGTTTGTTGTTTGGAACCTGCAATATTTGGCGAATTATTCTGAAGTTAAATTGTGAAATGTTCTGGCACTCAAACGGAACTTATCCCCGCTCATTTTTCTTGCTTCTTGCACTACTCGAGCAGATGAACATTTGGTAATACCCATACTAAGGTGGTATTTTCAAGAGGTTTATGCAATATCTTTTGCCTGCAGAATTATTAAGTTGCAAGGGTGTACTCCACAAACTGTTTCTGCTCTACTGCTTGTGAGTACTCATATCAGAATTTGAATGAGGATAGACTGGTTCAAAACGTTACTCATCTCCCAACGAGCCCTGCATAAGTAACTTAGTCATTACTCTGCAGACTAATATATTGAACGACAGCATGCCAGCAAGCTTTAAACAGCTATTCATCGTAACCGCAACAGTCTACCAGGAAATTACATCACAATTACTATTAGTTCTATATTTTAAAACAGTCAAATTCGCTGCTCTGGGACTTCAGGTAAGATCTTATTCTCCAAAAGATAAGGGCAGCGCAATTACTACATCTTTCATATTCAGACTCACTTGGGTCAAGAGGTAGTAGGCTAGATCTGTGCTATGGTGACCCTCAATTTGACTAATTAATCAATGCCACTGACAGTTAATCAATTCGTATATACTAATAGTTACCATATATATAGTAATCAATTCCTACTACCGAAATACTCGTCTTTTTATTTAATAATAAAAGTTAATTTTTAATTAAAGCATACCCTCGCCTACGAAAGTAAATAAAGTAACCTAAATTAATAACTAATTAAAGTATAACGCTACGTAAGTCCTTTATACCTAAATAAGTAAAAAGTAAAGCTATTCCTAAATATAATTATTTAGCCTTTGCTTTATGTCCGGCACTAACTCTCGCTCTACTATAACCTTCTTTCTATAGTTTTAACACACACAACCTTTTTCGTAGATTGAAAATTTTGTTCTAAAACGCTCAATCTCTCTTACTCTCGTTTGACAAGCTAAAATTCCCTCCATGGAGACTCCTCCAGTGAATCCTCCGATTTCGCCCACGCCCTTTGGAAGGGGCCTGAAAAAGGGGGGAGTACGCCCGATGCCCCCACTACCCAATATACAGCAGCACTTCGTTTCTGGAACCAGCAAAGCTCTAGAACGTGGTGCTATAGGCCAAATCTTCTTTGGAGGTACCGCGGAAGCCGTTGACCACCACCTAAACACTGCTCTTGATAGGGCTCCCCCGGAACTCTTGCCCTACCTCAGGGCCTTTTGCACTCAGGTGGCCGACCTTAGCTTAGCTTTCCACCGAACATACACCTCAGGGACCCCGCCTCCACTAC